CCTCCGGGGAACGCTCCGACTTACAAGAAAACTGCTGGCCCGAATCTCTCAGAAGTGCTGTGTTTTCCCACTGGACCACTTTCAGCTTAATAAACATCTTAACTAGCCAGAGGTCCCACGGGAGCTGCTGGGAAATCCTCTGGGCAGCCAGAGCTCAGGAGCTGGCCCTTTATTGCATCCAGGTGGCTGTTAAAAAATGCTGGCTGGCCATAAATGTCCAATAAAATGCAAGTGGCACCTTCAAGGGTGGACAGGGTCAGTGCACCTGTCTGTGGACGAAAACTCCATTCGCTCCCCTGTGTCCGATCAGTTTGATGCCGCACAGTACACTGTGCCAACACGGTGACGATGGAGAGATTACTGAGGGGGCCTTCCGGGCACAGGCCCAAAGGTTTAACACGTATTGTTAGAAAGTCAAACAAATGACCGCAAAGAGATGCAAAACAACTGCCAAAAAGACTCACAACAACTATAAAGAGAAATAAATTACCAAAAATGTCCACACAGAGACTCAAAACTACAACAAAAAGATGCAAAACAGAACGCAAAAGACAAAGAGACACAAAAAGACGGTAGAAAGAGACTCAAAACTGCCATAATATAAAGAGCTGACTATAAGGAGAGGAGAAACAACTACAAAGAGACACAACAGGACAGCAGAAAGAGGTGCAAAAAGACAGAAAAGAGCCCTGAAACTGCAATCAAGAGACACAACTGAACTACGTAGTGAGGCAAAACAAGTACAAAAAGATGCTAAATGACCACAGACACAAAGAGACACCAAACAGTTCCAACAATCCAGCTGGCCATTCATACATTTATACAAATCAGCCTCGTGGTAGCGAACAGCACAAACACGATCTGAAATATAGATGCAGAGATGGCCTCCTGAGCAGAAAAGCAAAAGCTATCATGCTGTCGTTTGAAGCTAACTGGGAAATTAGGGGGATGCTCATTGAAATTCTGTCCAATAACTTCCCGTTTGTTTACGACTACTTCACACATACATGAACGGTGGCAGCAGCCTCCCTTCATCTGTCCAGTCTGGTCGCTGTCCAAAGGGAGAGTTAATTGTCCCACAGGTTCTGGACAGACCTGAACGGTGTATTGGGCCTTTGATCTGACTTGAAAGGAGTTAATTGATTTCTGTGTTACAGGCAGTGTTAGAGGAAAGAAAGAAAAAAAAAAAAAAAGAAAAGATGCTTGCTGGTCATTTCACAACATGTGCCGAAATATCTGAGAGAGAAAGAGAGAGAGGGAAGGAGGGGGGGGTGAAGAGAGAGATCACCTCACACCCGACTCCATCCCTGCTCAATTACAATAATTTGACTCACATGGGCTGGCTGCCGCGGCAGAGAGAGAGGGGAGGAGAGCCGCTGAGTGGGGGAGGAAAAGGGGATCCCTGCTCTGGGAGATCACTCATCTTACCTCTGGCTGAGGTACGGGAAGACAGATTTGATGTGCGGCTCCCCTCAGAGTGCAGCCCGGGGGCTTGTTAAGGTGGCGGTACGCAGAAGACCACACGTCTAACCTCTTGCTTTCAGTCTCAGTGGGGCACTCCAACGCGTGATGACGTCAACATGGAACAAAGAGACAAGAGGCAGCAGGAGGTAAGTGGAAGAATCAAAGAAAAGTGCTTCACTCCTTACAATATGAGCGTGTCTGTTTCTTAGAAAATTAGTCATCAATTTTAATGTGTAATTATCAATTATTTTTAACAAGTTTTTCCTGTTTGAGACCATAAAGGTTGAGGTTATCCCAGCATGCACGAGGCTAAAGGAATCACCATCAGTTTTTATGTTTTGTTCTTGTGAAAATATGAATCCAGAGCATCTTTAGCAATGTGACTTGCTGCATCACCTGCCTGTGGGTCTGTGGGTCCAGCTCTGGTCTGGACCTGCTTTGACAGGCCTCCTGCCTACACTCCTTCACCTCACTCTGTCTCTGGTCACCCCAGCTCAGGGGGAAACAGGGCTGTCAGAGGGAGAGTGGCAGGCTAAGCCCGTCTTAACACAGCACCTCAAACCACCTCATAAATACAGGCTTCCTTTTCCAATTTCCAAGCGGCCCATCTACCTCTGTCTACATGCTTACACACTGCTCCATGTCATGCGCCGGGGTGTGAGTTTAAAAATGACCACGGGACATCTGGCGGACTCACAGAGGGTGGGGCTTTGATGTGCTGCTCTGCAGTTCAGTTCAACTTCAGCTGAGCCAAATCCTTGAGGAAACGCTTGCAGCCAGACTGAGGAGCCTGAAGCAGGCCTGGTGGGTTAGAGATAGCAAAGGAAGGTTATAGATGCCTTGAAACACATCTGCCATATGTGAAAAGCATACAGACAGCAGCTCCTCACTGCTCCGCTATCATGTAAACTACTGCAGTCCAAAAAAGATTGTTTCCATTTTAATTTTAAAATGTGGTCTCTGAAAATCATCATTATTTTCCATATCATAAAGTGGGGTGAAAGGAAAAGTGAAACCATGTGAGGCAGCTTTTTGATGGGCAGGGTTCACGAGGGAGTTGCGGTTCTGAGAGCAAGCCTGCTCTTTGCCCATCTGGAGGGTTTGGCCACACTGCGGCTCTCACCATGAAAGCAAAACTGGCGATTAGCTTCATCTAAACTCTCACATCTGACCAGCACAGCTTACATCACACTCAACCTGCTGTCCATCTCGGACTGCGACACCTCTCACGCTCCTCACACCGAGCATGACGCTGAGACATTGTAGCGTGGCTTTTGCAGGAAAGGGGCCACATTTTCAAAGGATTAGGTCGGCAATATTTAAGATATTTGTAATTGTCAGCACATTTCATGAAAGGGCCAAAACAAAAAAAAAAAAAACGCAGTAGTCCATACTAGGGGATGCTGCAATACATCACTACTGACAATAACTGTGATATGTAAAAAGTGAAATATTGATAACATGTTAATAAAAATCACATTGTAAATGATTCAAGGTCATTAACTATCTGGATGAGTTTCCAACAAGTTTTGGAAAGACCAGGACTGTTATTTAGTGAGCCTTTGTTCCAACATTTTGTTTTAACATAGAAACATACAGTACAGTTATGGTTACGAATTCCCTTTCCACCTCCCGTTTACTTAAAAAAGACAAAAAATGACAAAGGGTGAAAGTGAATTAAATCTAAAGCATCAGACTTTTTCTTATTTTTGTTTCAAATTTTCTATAGATACTTAGTTAGTATTGATTTTGTGTATTCTTTCAGCCAAACTAATTGTGTACTTGAAAGTCTAATAATGTGACAGCAACACTTTTCTCAGCCGGTCTGTGACACTTTTTAGCAAAGATTAACCAAATAGGAGGCAAGAGTTAATTTGCTGGGGGACTATTTTAAGAATTAATAGACACTTGATGCTTTAGTGAATAATTACAGCGGCAGGAGGGTGTATGTAAGATCAACTATAAATAAATTAACTACAAATAAACTACAGTGCCAATGGTCTGATTAATGAATGTGTTTTAATAGGTTTTGTATGACAATGGAGCTGTAAAGCAGAGATTGTAATTGTTGTCTGTCAGTTGGAGGATTTCACTGGATTAGCTGATAATAAGAAAAATATATATTATCATCAAACTTACCTAAAACATTAACAAAAAAAAAAACACCCATAGTGCATTACATAATTAGTATATGGAGTTTTTTTTTTTTCTTTTTTAGAATAAAAATGTCAAAACATTAAAACGTTAAGCAAAATTGCTTTCACGCACAAAAAAAGTAGTGCTGGAAAAAGAGGAGTTAGCACATTCCACCTTTCACTTGTGCAGTCTACCTGGGAATCTGGATACATATGGCACACTGTACACATGCTCTTTATACACAGCGGGGAGGAGGGCTGTTGAAGCCTGTCACTGTGCTCTAGGGCATCACTGACATGAGTGTCACCTTCATGAAGGAGTGTGAAAGCTGCTCCCTCTGCAGAGGATTCCTCAGACCGTCGCTCTGATTTCAGCAGCAGAACAGAGGAGTTAACGCAAACACTCATAGAGGGTTGTCATCTGCTGTGTGCTTCATTAAACACCTGTGAATAAGAAAAGCTATTAGGAATTTTTGGTCAGGGGGAAAAAAAATAAATAAAAAAATACCTGCACTGTTAGCAGAATCCACAAGTTCGCAAAACTTAGCAGGAGGAGAGTCTAATTAACAACAGGGACGTTAATCTATTCATGAGCTTCTAATACTAATTACAGCGGAAAAATGTGCAAATGATTTCTCACAATTTAATTAGTTGCAAATGACACATGAGCAGTGAGGAGACGGTGATGTTTCAGTATTCCAGTGGAAAATCTGCCTCTGAATCTGGCAGCACGGTGGCAGCAGGGTGTTGATTTGTTTGTTGAAAAAAAAAACAACAAAAAAACAAATATTTAATTCAACCAACAAAGATGTCTTTGTGTTCTGAAAATTCCAAAGTAAAGTTTATGTATATTAAAATACACCAAAATTACCTTGATCACAGAAAGCTCCAACACATGGTATTTTTCACCTCCAAATTACTCACCTGTAGCTAGCTGCAGAGTGCAATTCTAATTTGAGAGCTGAAACTTAATGTTGTTCTGTTGTTAAAGAGCTGACTCAGTAGAGGAGTCGCTGCTGACGTGGGTGGGTGTCTAGGGTAAGTACTCCCGCGGCTCAAAGCACTGCTCGTTCTTGCCGCACGCTGCTCATGATGAACTTTTTGATGGAAAGATGCTGGAAAACGAACATCGCTCGGGCCTGTTTGTGTGTGATGAAGCTGCCTCTCTGTTCCCGTTTGTCCTCCCCGGCTGCTACTCACTGTCAGCGCGGCCCTGTTATTTTGATGAGCACAATGTGAGTCACAGCTAACGTGCATTTATGAACTAATCTATTCAGGAATATTAATTAGTTCAACTTATTTTGAGCAGCAGCAGCAGCATTTGAATCACTTCCTGTGAGGCTTTCTGAGTAAGAAAAGACAAACTTACAAAAGTCACTCTCACAATAACTACATTGAAAACATTTCTAAAATTTAATGAGTTGTACAGTTGTGCATGAACACACATTTTTCAAATACTGTATTTTTTATATAGAACCCATAGAGGTAAAATAGTTTGTTCAAAATTACACAATAAATAATTAATAGTACATCCTGCACTTTCACTTCATTTCATTATTTTACAAACGATCCTTCTGTCAATTTGTACTGTTTCCTGTCGTTGTGGCTCTTGCAGCGTGAGAGGCCCACATGAGAAGTTAGCGAGCGACGCTTCGCTCTGTGCTGAAGTTGTACTGAAACTGCAAGCAGAAGAAGAAGAGAAAGTTGGTGAATGAAATGACATTGTCAAAAACAGAACAAAAACATCACCATACTGAAAATGCATTCCAAAGTAAGCAAAAGTGACCATTCACAAGAAATGCTGCAATGAACAGCAGACCTACTATTAGTACCATTTGTACATAACATAACTGTAATTGAACTATAGAATAAAACACTAATTTATGATTACTGGAAGAAGGATTAGATAGCTCTAAAGAATGAAGACTGAGAAAACATAAAGAACCACTGCCCCCCTGTGGCACAGCATGGACATGACTATCTATACAGCTTCAGACATTCTTGGTTTATGAGGCATTACGGCCAGGACAAAGTGTCATTTTTTATTCACATTCACTGATTCTACAAAACACAGTTTTCACTCTTTGTTGCCAGTTTTGTGCTAAAAGTGTAATTTGTCCTATTATAACAACAACAGGTAAAAAAAAAAAAAAAGGTTACGCTAGATTGCTTCAGGCCTTGATACAAACCTACAGGCCGTAACGGGTCAGCATAAATTATTATCTTTTGCTTAATGCTGTAATAAAATGCATCCGCTATCTGTTACCGTCATCCAGTCAGTTTTTAGTGCTACATCAATCTCTGACTTTCACGTTAACTATCATAAAAATGGTTCCTGAGTTCCATGCCGTAAGGTATACAGATGTTAAAATTAGGGGAAAAAAAGCGCAGTGGCATTCAGTAATGATGGATAATAATATTATTATTACCCTGAATCAGTACTGGAAGAGAAAAAGTTGGTTTGGTGTGCCCCCAAAGCATTAGCAGTTCCCAGCAGTGCTCAGACGTATAAGCCACTTTTCCAAAATCTATTCCAAAGATCCAAATTATTAAGAAATTAACACAAAAAAAAGGCAAAGCTCCCTTGCAAATTGACTAAGGCAATTAAATAATCTCAACAAAACTATATAATTTGAATAATTTATGGTCAGAGAGTTTTAAAACGTAATAACGCATTCTTGATTTTGCTGTGGGTGTAGTTCCACTGGCTGAACAGTGAAGTTTTGTGACTAAAGTAGAGCTCACTTCCCCCCAAGTTGGACAGTTGTATTACTGCAACACAGCACTAGGTGATGCTGTATGATCACTGAAATAAGTTTCCAAATCTCCAGCAGCAGCCACTGAGCCACAATGGCTAAAACTGGGTTCTCTTGTTCAAAATACCACCTTCCCTGATTTTCGCCTACTTGAGGGGAAGCTGCAAGTTCCCCCCAAACCTGTCACATATCACAAGCCTGTTATTTGTGAAAGAATTCAGGCCCCCTACCACACAAAAATTCAGTCTCAACATCTGGCACAGTAAATAAATATTCCTGTGTGTACGTGTGTGTGTGTGTGTGTGAGTGTGTGTGTGTGTGTGTGTGTGTGTGTGTGTGGATGATGGATGGGGGAATGGGGTGTTATCAGGGAGAGCATGTATCAATGTCTGCCAGTTTTACACACAGGCTGACAGGACAGTGACACACTAGAACATGGGCGGCAGTCACCCAGACGAGCCGAGCTTCATTTCCTGTCCCTGCTCCACTGCCAAAAATATGTGACATGTTGTCTTCATTAATTCCACCTCTATTTGGAGCTCTCCCTCTCACATACCCCTGTACACTACTGTCCTTCCATACGTTCACATAGAAACACACACACACACACACACCGACACCCACACAAAGCATAAGCAAGGAAAGAAACACACGCACGTACAGATAACTCCCTACAAGCACTAAAAACCAATCATACATAGGTGCTAATGAAAATCTTGTCATGTGTGCATACACACTTCTTTCCACCCAAGTATACTCCCTCTGAAAATCATTAGCCAGCCGCCAACAACATTTTTCAGCAGAGCAAACTACATAAAGATGTCACTTTAAATCGCTTACTAATTAACACTTAAAAAGACACAAATTAGATATGCGTGGCTAAAAGCAATTATAATATCCGCAAGTTTTGCGAGTCATTTGGGAAATGAAAAGAATGCCTAATTGCTGGAACCAACATCATCTGAGACATGGCTTAAGTGATGCCTGTTAGGAAATGGTCTTATCTACAACTGTGGCTGTGATTACAACAGTTTTCCTCAATTACATGTGCATATGTATAATTCTAGAAAGTACATCTCTTTCATGAATCTATATTTTTTAATGGGTTTAAAAATGAGGCAATTAGATTCTGTGCAGAAAGCGCCTCCAGTTTCTGAGGAGAGGGGGGAAAAAAAGAGAAAAGGAAGCCTGACAGTAAGGCACGGACAGTGACCTCTTCTGGACAACAGAAGAAGAAATTTACTCAAAAACATTGAGAAAACTGGGGGGGACGAGTTCATACTAAAAACTGCTTTTTCTGAATTTCATTGAGGTGCCTTTTGCTAAGAATGAGCTCAGATGGTTTCTGCACAGAAGCAGACATTATATTAATAGTGAAACACTGATACAGAAAAACAAGAAAAGTGGCAGACAGCATGTTTGCAAGAAAATCACAGACTATATTTCCCCCATTGTTCCGCAGATATCATCGTGGGATAATAATAAGAGCAGAGAAGTAAAAATAACACAATGGTGAGGGATGTTTCCACTTGGAAACTAATTATCAAGCTAAGCTGTGACTTCATCCTCATCAGCCTGGCCCCACCATTAATCTTGTGCTGTCGTCCACTTCACTAAATCCTGTGTGTTACACTATCTCACATTTACTTCATCAGCTCCAGCGCGGCTGTAATTAATGATTTCTCATGCCCTTCCCTTCTCTTCCCCAGCTCAGCTCACCATGTGTCCTCCTGCTAATCACACTCTCGGAGAAGAAAGGAAGGAGAAGGAGAGGAAGGAAGAGAAGGAGAGGAGAGGAAAAAGGGGGGAAAAAAGACAAGAACATATAGGATGAGCAGTCAGCCTGTCTCCACCCTGGACACACACACACACACACACACGCGTACATGCCATTAATACCTGCGCTGACAATGAGCTTCATTCAGATGACCATATGACAAGATGGCGACTCTGTGTGATTTGGATAGTATATGACAGAAGACAGAGGCAGAGTGCAGAACAGACACCCGGTTTGATGAGGGAGTGTTTGCTCTGTAACACATCTCAAACCCAACAGCACCTGTTCTTTTACAGTGGTCTGTCACTTCCTGGCAGTTCTGATACCAAGATACCGTGCTAATGAGAGAGAAGGGGGGTTGTCACTCTCTTTAAAGCGCACACACACACACACACCCACACAAATACAGCTCACACACACACACATACACGTACACACACGCGCACACACACACACACACACAAAGACATACTGACTCTCTCTTTTTTTTCCCCTCCTCTTGCTCTCACAAACACGAGCTCTAAAGACGGAGCTGCGCACTGATGATTTTCTTCCTACGAATGCCTGTAGGCTACAGTGTTTCATCAGAAATGGGGAGCGCTTTTTATTTGCTCTACATGATCTCTAACTTTTTAACTACGAAGCTGATTGGAAACTTAAAAAGTTAAACATGCGGAATCTGACCAAGAAAGACTCCTTAAGATGTACAGCGCTGTGCGAGATGCTAGATTGAGCTGTTTGAGAGAAGAATTGGGGAATAAAAGTCAAGTGTTTTGGAACAGGAGACGAAGCTTTTAGGAGAGAATGGCTGCCTAGCTTGGCCATGCTTTTATTCAATTGGGGCTTAGTGGAGCCAACAGGGCCTCGCTGTCTCAGACACTTAATTACAACCCCAAGACCGTTTGCTTTGCATTCTGGGCCAGCGGCGTCAGCGGCAGCCGAGCGTTGCAGCCTCTACTCACTTCCTCCTCGATCTCTGCCAGGGATTTGATCGTAATGCCCATTAAATTGACTTGCTGCATCTGAAATCAAAAGCAGGGAGAGGAGGAGGGAGAAGGAGAAGAAGAAGAAAAAAAAAAAAAACACACAAGAAACATGGCGGTTAGGCTCATGGCTAAGTAAGCATGCTTAAAATCTTTAATCCTCTCCCTCTCTGTGTCAATACAAACGGGGCTATAGTGACAACCACCGCCAGCCAGCCAAATGGACTGCATTGAGCCAGCTCTGCCTGACTGCACGCATTCATCACTCAGTCTGGAGGAAAGGAAAGGAAAGGAAAGGAAAGGAAAGGAAAGGAAAGAGAAAGTGGTGTTCACTTAAGGTGAAGCTGTAGGAGAAGTAACTATCACCACCACTCTCATATTATATATAATAAAGAAGTCATTCTGCATTTTGTCACTGGATCCTCAAAGAATTTTTACCTCTTTGGGGCCTTCAAGAAACTTGTCAGAGACCACAAAGGGCACATCATCCAGAGCTGCAAAAAAAAAAGAAAAAAAAAAAGTAAGAAAAAGCAAAGTTGAAGTTTGACTTTTATACAAACATATACTACTCCCTATTCTTGATCCTGAGTCTTTCCACAAGACTAAATGTGGGATTATAAAACAGCAAAGCTATCAACATCCCCAGCCACCCCAGCACCTCCCCTCCTTCCGTCTACGGAGAGAAGATGAAAGGCTTTTTTATTCTCTGCTGTATGTGAGCACCTCCACTCTCTCCTCCAACCCGGCCCTTTCCCAGCCCTCTTCCAGTTTAATTACTCTTGATTATTCCCGATTCCGTCTTGTCTGAGAGATGTTCACCTCCGAAACAAAGACACACTCACACAAGGCACAGAAAAGCGGAAAGAAGAGAGACAAAACATTCACCAGATATCAAATTTGCATGAAAATAAGCCACACTGTTCAGCCGGCAAAAAGTGGATTGAAATGAGGACTTGCCAAGAGCGTGGTGGTATAATTAGCATTTGACCAAACAAACGAGCTTCAACAGAGCTATAATTAAGCAGGCCTGTAATTAAGTGTATGCCCTTTATCATAATGATCGTGGTTAAAATGGTGTGATGGCTGCCAGTTGATTATTAATGGTGTAACCCCGTCCTGCATGCATCCTGCACTGGAATCAAGGTGTCACGACTGTCAGGCTAGAGAGCAGCCCTTTGTTTATAAAATACATTAGGGCCCAAATTAACACAGGGTGACAAGAGACACAAAGCCTCTCGTTTCCAGACTGAAGGGAAAACTGCAGCTGCTCGGCTTCATTATAAAACTCCAAATCTGGAGGCACAAAACTTGCTGCAGTTGGCTTCGACAGGAGCCCCAAATATCAAGAGGCCAAGCTTCCAACTGGTGTTCTTTTACCCGCAAGTCCATCAGGCCGCTGGCACAGGAAAAGGAACTCATAAATGTAAGCCGAAGCTTTTCATGAGTCATCGTTTGGGAGCTGACACTCCTTTTGGCCTTTCCTGTTCACAGCAATATTTAAAAGTACGAAATTCTAAAATATCCCTCACTTTGACACTTGTGTGCTTTCCTTTCTCGGTTATTACACTGATCCATGGTTTGGCACTTTCCACACAAGTGTAGTACAATGTGATCTTTGTAATCAAAGCATGACCCTCACCCTCATGACCACAGGAAAGCTTATTTAGTTTCTTGGCTTCTATTCATCTCCCACAGTAAGAAAAAAAAACAAAAAATGCAGTAGCAACAAGAGCCATGCTAGCTGCTGTGTTGAGACACAGTGGTTCTTTGAACTAAATGCTATTGTCAGCATGCTTACATTCTCATAATTGCAATGATAACAGGCTGATGTTAAGCAGGTTCAATGTCTTCCATGCTGACCCCATTAGTTTTGCGTGTTAGCATTGGCTAATTAGCACTTAAAAACGAAAGCTGAGGATATTGATACTTATAACAGAGAATAAACAAATTAAAAGTCGATGATGGCTCCACATGAAAATTTAAGGCATCATCAAAATAACTGCATTGTACACTGTGTGTTGGTAAGATTTAAGGGGAATCCATCGAATAGCTGTTGAGAGTTTTCACTCAAAATCGCAAATCCAATAGCTGCTGGGATATTTCAGCTTGGTTCAAAGCCGTGGACCAACAAATCCACAGACATTGACGCAGCTTTCATTCCACTCATCCAGGAGATGTTAAAAGTCTCAACACCCACCTCCCTGCAGCAGCTTTGAATGTCTGGCTACTTGAAGCAGCGAGCAAGAGAGGGCAACTGGGAAGGCATGATGACTTGTTTAAGCTCATAACTACAAGTGAATAAACAAGCACTGCTGTGTCGCTGGGAGCACCAACACCAGGCAGAGGTACGTAGGGAGAATACATTTGAATCAATAGCCAGCAATGGGAAGCGGAGATTGTAGCTGCTGATGGATCTGTGAGGCACGGACAGATGAATGCACGAAGCTGAAGGCCAGAGAGTTTCTTTATTGCTCAAGGATTACATTTAAAACCAGATCTCACTTTGTATTCCTCCACCATCTATACTAGAGAGGCTATCTTACACCCAGACAAATGGAGAGGCACCGCAGATGACTCGGTGGTAAGGAATGAATGCTGTACTATGGAGAAATCTGAAGGTGCAAAGGGCAAAAATAATGTAAATCCAATCTTCTGACCAGGAATCCCAGTATGAAGCATGTTCTCGCCGCTCAAATGGCCAGGCTACAGTCCATTAACTCATGAGTGTATTGCAGTGTGGGGAATTGGGTAGTTACTTGGCATTTGGAGCATGTGAGTGCAGTCAATACGAAAACATCTGGCAGGAATTTTGGTACAGCGACTGCGATGATGATGATGATGATGATGATGATGATGGTGATGGTGGTGGTGGTGGTGGTGATGATGACGGCAGCGAGCGCAGAGGTGGCGTTAAGTAAGGAGGACCCTGTGGCTTGAGTGATTGTAGTGTAAAGAACGAAGTCAGCACAGGCCCCGTGTGGATCATTGCCTTATTAATGGCTCCGTCAGGTGCGATGAGCAATGGCTGCATTGTCATCTCCAGCCCCTGGGCACAGATGAATGGCTGTTTCAGGGCGGGAAGGGCTCCCTCGTACGCTGGGCTGAGCACTAATCCCTCACTCTTCCATTGTTGGATGCACTGTCACCCAGGACTTCAGCAGCACCATACATTGCATTTCCTGGGCTCTAACAGACATGGCCACGCACTACACAGGCGCCGACATACCTACACACACACACACACACACATTCACACACAAACACATAAACCACACCGAGTTGTGCTCAGACACTGACTGATGGAAAAATATGCGTGGGTGATCGAGCATACCCCATATTACCTGAACCACAACTCAAGAGTAACACTTTAGGAATGTTGATGAACTTTTATTTTACACTTCACTAATTCAGCAGAATTGCATTGATCTCTGTCTAGTATGATTACTTGGGTGAATCTGTCTCGCACCTGAATTAAGTGAGAAAGTCACAGTCAGGGCAATAATGTGCAAGTGCAAATGAACATCCATTACAAGTTTTTACTCATGATTGAGCTGATATCCATTGTTTAGCAGCACCATAAAATGATAAGTAAGACAGGTCAAAAATAGGTGAGAGCTTCATCTGGAACCTGCTCTATTTCATATTCCAAACAATTGGATGTTGCCTTTCCTCTGTGTGTAGCCAGGCTAGACATCGCAATACCTTGGCTGTCGATGTGACTCTCAATTTGAGCCGGATTCTTTATGCAGACCATGGAAATGCTATTCTAGTTTGCAGACCCCGCTCTCTGTCACCTCTGCAGATAATGGTGAGTCGATGAACAGAGAGCTGGAGGAGGACCCCCTATGCCCACTCACAGCCCTTAGCCCCGCTCTGACATGAGAAATAGTGCCCAGGCCTGACAACATCTCGGAGACATATTGTAGTTTATTTTGTCGCCCGGGCATGCCATCTGTGCCATTCCAATAGAGGGTGTGTGTGTTCAGGCTGCTGCAAGAGAGAGGGCGCGAGGCTCCGGGTCCCTCAGTAGCTCTGCAGCCGCGGCAGGTCATTAGTCAAATTGCCTAATGAGAGAGAATACAAATGGCCCCCTACCCTGACAGGAGGAATTTTGGAGGTGTCAGAGCTCCTGACCCGTGCTATGAGAACAGATGATAGCGAGTTGCTATTTTCAGATTCTTTTAATGACTATGGCTCTATGAAACCCATTCTTTTTCTTTTATCTTTTTCCCACTTTCTCAAACCCTCTAGACAGACGAGTGAAAAAAAATACTTTTCAATATATTAAAAAATCTCGCTTGCAAAAGTGTGAGTGTAACTTTTGAATTATTTAAATGTTTACTGGGGAGTCAATTAACATTCTAAAAAGTGTATTGCATTGATACTAAAATAGATGATACGCTGAAATGATGCTGAGGGTTTCTGATAATCTATTTTTATTTGTTTCTGCTGGCTGTGTGCAGCTCGTTTCCGCAGTCTCACTGTAGTGTGCGCAAGTCTCTGTTGCAATTCTCCTGACAGCGAGTCAGTTCGTTTATACTGAAATATTAATTTCATTTCATCCAAAATGTTCAAGAATGTAAACAAGTTTAAAAGGTTTCTGAATGCTAAGGGTACTGTGCAAAAGATCCATGGGATGAATGTGTTTATAGTTACATGCTACAGGCTGGGACTGCTAAACACTTTAAATCTATGGAGAGAAACTATGGAGGGAAAAGAAGCTGAATCATTTTACACAAGCTTTGTCCACTTTGATGAGTATTTTTCAAAGGAAACTCATTTGAAAGAATATTTGAAATGTTTTCAGTTCACCAGCAAACCCTTCCTTTTCCAAACATATAGACAAATGCAACAAATGTTGAAAATAGTCTTTAAAGTCAATTTTTATCTAGAATTGAGCTGCATTTTTTTTTATTGTAAAAGCCCAAATGTAATGAAGACATACCAGAATGATGAATAGACCTGAATGCCGTCTACATTACCTGGTTAATTTGCAAAATCACCAAATTTCAAAATTTTTTTTGTTACCAGAGGGATGCAAAATGGCAAGCTTATGCAGAATGACCCACTTACTTTTCCATCTGTGACAAACAGTCCTTGAAATCTGGTTGTGGGTATGGAGCCAGGAGACAGTCCCAGCCGGGCGCTGGTCCATCAGTCTTCCAGAAAGTGGGCAGAGCCAGCAACACTTACGGTGAGTTGGCTACAAACACCGCTGCATAACACAGGACGGTATGAGGGGGTGTGTACATGTGTTAAATTCTTCAAAAGGCCTACATGCAAGTTCAGTCTGATTGAACCTATATAGAGAACAGGATACTTAATGTGAAGTCCAAAAACTGTTAGGTCATTTAGTATTAAAACCCGTTTGAGTTGTTCTTCAAAGCAGTCAGTAATGGAGAAATACTGGGAGAACCCTTTTTGCTGACTGGCTATTGAGCGCTCTCATGAAATTAAATGGACAATCAGACTTTAATCAGCGGCACAGTGTCTT